ACCACCTCCCTGGGCAGCCCATTCCAATGCCTGATAACCCTTTCAGTGAAAAAATTTTTCCTAATATCCAGCCTGAACCTCCCCTGGCACAACTTGTAGCTTCTATTCCAACCCAAACCTTTCACCTGTCTTTTGAACACCTCCAGGGATGGTGCCTCAACCACCTCCCTGGGCAGCCCATTCCAATGGCTGAGAACCCTTTCAGTGAAAAAATTTATCCTAATATCCAGCCTGAACCTCCCCTGGCGCAACTTGTGGCTTCTATTCCAACCCAAACCTTGCTGTGATTGTGATATTTTTTTCAGGTATTAAGATCCGCTCAATCAGATCAGATCATCGATCCCAACGTCGGTGTTAAACGAGTGGAAAAAAAGCAGGAGGACTGATTGTGATATTTTTTTCAGGTATTAAGATATGCTCAATCAAATCAGATTATCGATTCCAATGTTGGTGTTAAATGAGTGGAGAAGAGCAGGAGGAGCTCAGGCAAAGGGAAGGGAGGCTGAGCCAGCCCGACGGCGCAGCGACAATCCGTCACACATGGACACTGGTGTGGATTCCACAGGGCAGCCCGGGATGGTGAATTGGAGAAGGCTGGAGGGAGGGAGCCGGGGCACGGCCAAAGGGCTCCTGGCATGGCTCTCCGGGGAATGCTTTGGCTCCTGTGAGGGCTGGCTCCAACACGGCCTGAAGGAAACGGTGCTCTGGCCTCTCTTCTCTGCAGGGAACGTGCCTTAGGACACGGGGCCTTTGATGGGACGCCGGGCAGGAGCTTTAGGAGACGCCCGAGAGAGCTGTGTTCCTAATTGGAGATGAACGAGGAACGCGTGACTGCGTCTCTGCACGTGGAAAAGAACAAAGGGAAGGAGCTGATGTGAGAAAGAAAACTTTCTGTGAAGAATATATGAGAGAGAGAGGGAGCAGAACTGCTGAACGATCCCAGCTTTTCCTCAGAAAACGAGAAAAAAATCCTGCAAGTTAAAATATCATTATTTCCTCAACTGATGGTATTTGAGCCGATAACCTCTAAGCCCTCAGCTCGAAGAAGTCATTTCATAATAAAAGAGAGCCTTCGCTCTGCTGACACCAACACCACGACGCTCAGAGGACAAATTAGAGTTATTTTATTTAATTTAACATTACATGCATTGCAGACACTGATTCATGTCCTTTGTTTGCCCAAGTAGCCATTCCCAACGCGTTGCCATCAGGGGGAAGCTCAGTAGCATGCACTGCACATGTTCCTCTGCAAACTCACCATTTTCAGCTAAAAAAGGCTTTTCAGCTCTTAAGGTCATGATTTCTAAGGTAGTGTTATACATACAGTTTAATTTTGGTTTTATGCAGACGTTGCATAGTTGATGATGAGCTTCTCCCGACAGCCTGGAACCGTGGTACCAGCGTCGTCGGAGCAGCTCAAGTGACGGTGGCAAACAAGAAGATCTGAAGAAGAGGCATAACTTTCAGGGTTGAAAGGTCAGCGAGCACAGCCTGGGATCAAAAAGATTAAAAAAAAAAAAGGCTTGTTAAATTTGACATTTGAATCGAATTTCTTTAAAGCAAGTCAAGAAGTCAGAAAAAAAAAAAAATTAAAATACTGACTACAATACTAACATTAATTAATTAGATTCAGACCTGGCTAGAAACAAATGATGCTGTTTTATGTCAGCGTGCAGAATGCCTTATTAATTAACAAATGCCTTAATTTTTCATTCTAACACTTCAAAGAAAAAGCATGTTTACATATAGGAACGGAGTAACTTTATTTTAGCCATTAGCATTACTTCAAGTATCCATGGCATCATGGGTGAATAAGGGGTCTAACGTTTCACCTCGCTTCTAAAAATAATTGGGAATTAAGAATCCTTATCCTGTGGCTTGGCTAGTACTTGTGAAGTAAGTCCAATGTAATGACTCAAATAGTCAACATCTTCTCGTGATGTTAAAACAAAAAAAAAAAAAAAAAAAAAAAAAAAAGAAGAGCGAGCCATCATAAGCTCTCAACGTTTGAAAAAATAATATATCACCAGATTTTGGGGAAAAAATACATTTTACTAATTACTAGAGATAAACAGTAATAATCTTCACCTTAATGACTTCATTTTCTTCTTTTCCCATCTGTGAAATGACAGCACTCGCAGTGAAATTTCAGACTCAATGTTGACAAAAATCATCTTGTAAAATTTTTATAGTATCAAAAAACCACAGAAGCAACTACATTAAAATGCAGAGGGAAAAAAAAAGACACAACCCTCCACAGCATTTCAAAAACAATATACCCCACAAAATATAATTCTATATTAAAATAGGAAAAAAAAATCCCATTGTGCAAAATAATTTGTTAACGTTGCATTTTTTTGCAGCAAATATACTCTTTTATTTCTTTTTACTCCAGGAAAGCAGTGTTATATGTACTGCGTGTTCACCATTTCCTAGGCTCTTTTATTTCTTTTTACTCCAGGAAAGCATATGTACTGTGTGTTCACCATTTCCTAGGGTTTAGGGGTTTTGTTTGTTTTTTTTTTTCAATCTAAGGTAAGAATTCAGGCAGAAAGATTTGCACTATGTACCACGTGCCATGTGAAGCTTGAGTTACTCTGGTTGGCAAAGCATCAGAAACTATTTCAATCTCCTCCAAGTGAAACTTATCCTTACTTCGGCTGCGGCCAGTGATGTCACCTCCATCAGGTTGACTGCTCGGAAAGCAAACACAGCAGCTGCCAGCACTGCAAGAAAATGCCCAAGATTGAAGTCGCTGAGCTGTTAATTAACAGTTAGAACAAACCTGGATGTAAAACGCCCATTCTCACTCCCTCAGAGTAATTATTTTGATTCTGAAGTATGATAAAGGGTGAGTGGCTGCGTTTCCGTGCCCTTGGCCATTTTTTAAAGTGGACAGAAAAACCACAACGTTCTGTCAGAAAAATCTGAGTGAAAACGCTTGAAATGAAGATGAATATCTTTATTAATTAAAGGGACAGGGTGATTTGCAACAAATTAATTTCAAAACAATAATTTTAATAGCAATATTTCAGTTGTAAATACTACATAACATTTTAAAAAAATGTTCATTTGTTTTATACTATCTCCTATAATTACATCTCATTAACTGTTTTATAGGTACAAATGGAACCAAAACCTTTTCTCTTCACCCACTCCATATTTAAAAACTGACCCAACTGACGATACAAATCGTCTTTAGAACCCCCATCTTAAACTTTTAATAAATCTTAGGACACCATTCTCTTTATAAAAGGTAAATACAAAACTGTTGAAGTCTCTTAAAAGATGGGACTTTGAAAGAAGTAGTCCAGCAAAATCAGGGGAAGTCTCAGTTTTGATAACTCCTGAAGAAATAATTGCCATAAATGACTAACACGAATCCTGTGTTTTGTGAGAGCTGATGAACTCATTTATTGTTACTACTGAAGCTGAGAGAACACCCTATGTTCTGGTCAGGGAGTGGTTGGCATTTTTGGAGTGCTATCATAAAAAAATAATAATTAAATTATCTCCCATGCTTCTGTTAGAAATGCAGTGTTTATGCAATTCTAGTTTTCTAAAAGTTACACTCTTTGACACGGCATTCAAAGAGCAACTCTTTTCTTCTTGTCACAAAACGCATTGAAGTCAACATGTATTTGCCTTATACCCACCCAGACTTAACACATTGAGTAAAAATAATTCTATTACCAGCAAGAATTTCTAGAGAGTTGTATCCCAGGATTCTGTCCCACAGAAGCAGGAGCTGATCTGTAGCCAAATAACCAGAAAACGCTCGTACCATCCATTTAAATGAAATCCGTAGCCTGCAAACAAGTGGTAAGACAACAATTATTATATTTCTGTCTCCCATAATCATCAGAAAAAAAATAATTCTATTACCAGCAAGAATTTCTAGAGAGTTGTATCCCAGGATTCTGTCCCACAGAAGCAGGAGCTGATCTGTAGCCAAATAACCAGAAAACGCTCGTACCATCCATTTAAATGAAATCCGTAGCCTGCAAACAAGTGGTAAGAGAACAGTTATTATATTTCTGTCTCCCATAATTATCACACAGATCCTCTATACATTTAAAAATATTTCACTATTCTTCTGCATTTCTCTTCTAGGAAGAATAGCCATCATCTCTTGCTGCTTTGATATTTTCCTTTGCAACAGCCATCAGAAAATTGTTTAACATCTCATTTGACAAAGTACTAATAGCATTAAAATATTCTGACCAAACGACCACATTAGAGGGATCCTCAGCAATTAGCACCCTCAATGTTTCGTCGTTTCTGCTATTATGGTATCATGACATTGAGGTGCTGGAGCAGGTCCAGAGAAGGGCAACGGAGCTGGTGAGGGGTCTGGAGAACAAGTCTTGTGAGGAGAGGCTGAGGGAGCTGGGGGTGTCCAGTCTGGGGAAGAGGAGGCTGAGGGGAGACCTTCTCGCTCTCTACAACTCCCTGAAAGGAGGGTGGAGAGAGGTGGGGTCGGTCTCTTCTCCCAAGTCACAGGTGATAGGACAAGAGGAAATGGCCTCAAGTTGTGCCAGGGGGGGTTTAGATTGGATATTAGGAAAAAAATTGACACTGAAAGAGTTCTTAAGCCTTGGAATGGGCTGCCCAGGGAAGTGGTTGGGTCACCATCCCTGGAGGTGTTCAAAAGACAGGCTGACATAGTGCTTAGTGACATGGTTTAGTTGATGGTTTTTATCAGAGTTAGGTTGATGGTTAGACTAGAAGATCTGAAAGGTCCCTTCCAACCAAGACAATTCTATGATTCTGTGATGGATACCAATTACAATAACAAGGTTTTCAGGTTCTATTGCACTTGGTGCCATGAGTACACCACAGAACGATGCCTCCTGCTCTCTCTCCCCTGCCCAGTAGCTTCTGCTGGAACTAACATATCTCTGTGTCTTCTGTCCCCCAGGAAATAAATCACTTACTTCCATCAGATCTGACATGAATAAATGAAACTTAGGTGAATAATGCAGCATTTCTGCAGCAATTCTCATCTCTTTTTCATAGAATGTACGGAAGAAATGCACAGAGCAGACACAGGCAGGTGAGACAAAGGACTCCCTGACTTTCAAGGAAAAATGGCATATTAACATTTTCCCTTTTGAAAATCTCACAGCATCTTCTGTTCAGTGAATGAACCTGCAGTGTTTGTAGGAAGTCAGAGAGAAGTACTCACGGCTGAGCCCCGATTTCTCGAAGGTGATAAAAGAGCTGGGGCAGGTGGGTTTGGAGAAGGGTCTCGAAGAGCAAACACAGCGATACGATGCCCTAATGAAACAAGAGCACAGCCTGAATGCTAACACCCATCCTGCCCCACCTGAGAAAGCAGCATCAGCATCTCAGTACACATGAATTTTTAATTCAAGCAATAAAATGGGGCACAAGCAGCTCTAATGCCTTAAAACATTCTGATAGTTCCTCTCAGCTTTAAGTCACTTATGGTATTTGCATGGCAGGGTCTACTTAGTGGGTTATTATAATATGACCTACTTTAAATATTTCCACTTTGATGAAAGAGACCCCAGTTGCACTAAAAACCAGAGGATGTGAGAAACTGTATCTCCCTGATATCTCCATTGCTGTTTGGTTTTAGTAAACTACAAAAAAAAGTTAAATGTAAACACATTTTCAAATTCATTTTCAAAATTACCATGAAAATGAACAGATTCCAGTCTGACTGGTTTCCCTGCTATTAATGACTGAAAGCACAATGCACAGCCTTGAAATGGTATATCAAGGAAATGGTTTTCTTTTAACCACAAAAGGTTTTCAAAAAGTAATATAACTCTATATATACTTATAACTATTTAGCTCTTTCTGAAGGAGAAAAAAAAAAAAAAAAAAAAAAAAATCAACAAACTTACTATGTTCTATTCTTCAAAAATAGAAGATAAGCCAATTTCTACAATTGACTTACATTCAAGTCAGCGGGTCCTGGTCATAAATGTAACAATTATTTAAATTCATCTAGTAGTGCTAAAAAGCACGTTTTGTCACACAAAGGTACTCAAGTTAAAGAAACAAACATTAAGTTGATATCACTGAAACAATATCTGTATATTTATAACTATATTTTAGCCCCTTCACTCCAGAAAACACTGAAGTGTGCACTAAAGTGTGTCATTTATTAAAATGAAAGAGAGTATGACTTCTTGGAACAGAGAAACCTATTACATAAAACACTTGACTCTTAAAAAAACCCCACACCCTCATAAAATGAGAACTATTCTATTTCAAAGTATATGATATTCTAGAGCAAAGACCAACATTGACACAGAAAACAAAAAATACCCAAACTGGAGTTACCTAATAATTTTTCCAAGCTTACCTGAATATATTTTATTATATTTAAAAGGGACAGATTTCAATCGCATAGAAAATCATTCCACTGTATATTATTGTTCCATAACAAACAGAATATCAAGTGAGTGGGTTTTAATTCCTAACGAACTTACAGAGGGATGAGAAGAGATGGAATGGAGTCTGAAGAAAAAACGCACATACATCTCACGGAATATCTGATACAATTTGGAAGGTTCATGGTACAGAAAACAAAGTGGAGCAACTGAAAGGATAAAAGAATTATAATTGACTCAACACTGTAAACTGCTAAAAGAATTCAATGATTAAGTGCATGAAGTATGAGGGAAAAAAACAAGTAATTTATAGCAGTACAATTTACAAAAGCAATACTAAAACAGTTATTTAGAAAGAAATACTTCATAATACAGTCTATCATTTGGCATAAAAAGTTAAGAAAGGGAGTGCAACACATTCTAGGTAATAGTCCTTTATATTTCAAGACTCTAAACTAATAAGAACCTGCTCACTACAGTGCTGGCTTCTGAAGCTTAAGAAATACACTTTAAGGATAACTTCTCTGGGATGTAGGGCAACGATACAGGGAATGGTGCAAGCTTTTGAAGTCTATAACTTCCAATGTGCCCCCGGGGCTAGTGACCATCTCTGAGTTGGGTACCCATTTGTAAGGCTGGAATAAATTTGCTGCTTGAAGATGAGTGTCATGAAAATGAAAATAAAATAAATATATATATATCAGATATATATCAGAGAAGGTGGCTTTATAGGAAATAGTGGTAGAAAAAAAAAATAAATATATATATATATGTATATATGTATCAGAGAAGGTGGCTTTATAGAAAATAGCGGTAGGGTGAAGAAGATGCTCAGAGGGATGGAGCACCTCTGCTGTGAGGACAGGCTGAGAGAGTTGGGGTTGTTCAGCCTGGAGAAGGCTCTGGGGAGACCTTAGAGCCCCTTCCAGTCCCTCAAGGGGCTACAGGAGAGATGGGGAGGGACTCTTGATCAAGGAGTGGAGCCATAGAATGAGGGGTAATGGTTTTAAACTGAAAGAGGGAAGATTTAGATGAGATCTCAGGAAGAAATTCTTCCCTGTGAGGGTGGTGAGACACTGGAAGAGGTTGCCCAGAGAAGCTGTGGCTGCCCCATCCCGGGAGGGGTTCAAGGCCAGGCTGGATGGGGCTTGGAGCAACCTGGTCTGGTGGGAGGTGTCCCTGCGCAGGGCAGGGGGTTCGGAACTGGATGATCTTTAAGGTCCCTTTCCAACTCTAACCATTCTGTGATTCTGTGGTGAGAGGCCCAACTCTAACCATTCTATGATTCTATGGGAGAGGTTCACAGCAACGTGTATTTGCGTAGGGGTAAGGAAAGCAGAGGGTGTTGTCTCCAGGATTTACATAAAGCCCCAGAAACTTCCTCCTCCAGCAGCACGGCACGGAACAGCAGAGAACATTCCCCTGGTCCCCTTACACGCTGTGTTTCTGCTGCTGTGATTTCCAGCCTCCCTCCTTCCCACCAGCAGCCTGTTCCCAGCCCTGGCACGGAGCGGGGAGGGGAGGGAGGGCAGCAGCTCCTGCCCAGGCCCAGGGACGCTCCTCTCAAGGGCAGGGTCAAATCCAAACATTTTGCAAAGCAGTTTCAAAGGCTTAAGGTTCCCTCCTCAGGTTCAAAATTGGCATTTCATACTTAAATCGCCTGATTTTGATGATCGTGTGGCCATTAAACTTTACTATTAGCAAAACACAGCGTTTTAAGTATAATCCTAAAATCTGCTTGCCCTCTGATGCCACAAACACCTTTGAGAAATCAAAGGAAAAAAACTGGGAAGCTGTAACAAACAGCCTCACGTTGCTGGGAGTCTCTGCACTAGATGCCTTGTTATGTCTATGACTCGAGGAGGTTTTTCTGCATTTTTCCTAGCAATCTTGTGGATATTTGAGCTTTCCTCCACGCTGTAAGGTAGCAACCATTCCATTATTTAATGCTCCTTTAACGCCTGTTCTAGGCAAATGGCTTCAGCAACAGGCCTTTCACATAATTCATATTTTTAAGAACTCTTGTCACAGGTAACTTGGTCTACCCAGAAGTGGAACACAAGAAAAGAGCACTCTTCTGTCAATAAACTTTATCCCTCTATTCATATACAGCAAGACGTATAGCTCAGCTGTAAGCTCTCAAAGAAGGAACTCCCACACAGGAGCCAGCTGTAATATAAATAAAAAGAATCAGCCTGGAAATTTTAAAGTTATATACAAAAGTCTTCATACACAGAACACACACGAGTTTAAAAGTTGTAGAAAAGTACATAGAGGTTTAAACTGCAATATGAAAAAAAAAAAGCAATTCTGAGGTTTTAAGAGTTTATGAGAGTCACACTTACCGTACATAGAAAAGCCATGAAAAGGAATGACACCTACAAAAGAAAATATTTATTTTTTTCTTCTTTTATATTTATTTTTACCCATTAATAAAATATTTCCTTGTTATAGAACTTACAGTCTTACATCTCAACCTTGTAAATATGTAAGTACAGGAATTGTATCACTTACTTCAGTACAACCAACTACATGCTTAAACACATGCTATAGTTCCTAGAAAGCCAAGTAAAGCTTCATTTCCATGAAGTTATTATGTATAAGCTTTGCTGAAATCAGAACCTAATTTCAGATCAATGACAACCCATAAATGTCACGCCCTGACAAGGAGGGAGCAGGAAAAAAAAAGGAGGCCAAGACCTCTAGTAATTCATGTAGTACTCAGATAAAACATTTAGGGGACTTGGCAGTGGTATCATGACAGTTCTCTCCTCCCTTCCAGCTGATCCCAGCTCCCATTCAGTAATTTCCATATGGGACCAGGAAGGGGGAGCTGCTTTGGCAAAAGGTCACGAAGGCAATGCTTCATGGCTACAAAGAATTGCAGAGGCAAATATGGAAGGGGAACAAAAGCACATGCTACAAGTGACACCACGGGGACACAGAAGATGTGAAAGCCAAGGCCAGTGACACCACGGGGACACAGAAGATGTGAAAGACAAGGGCAGAGACACAGGTTTAAGATCAGTGACACAAGGTCTTGAAAAGCAGAAGCAAAGAACTCAAACTTAAAATACAAATGCAGCGCAAAAACAGGGATTGAAAAAAATCAAAATAAGAGCTGAAAAAAAGAATTTCAATAATTGAAGTAAACACAGCAGCGATGGTGCTTACTTAAAATGATATAGATTAGTTATGGCTGAATTTTTAAAACGAACACAAATTTTGAAAGGAAAAGCCTTTAAGGTGTGGTTTGTTGAGTACTGGGAAGCTGGGGCTCAGATGGTTTCAGGATGTGTCATTCAGATCCTCTACGAGGCGACACGAGACTGGACCCCAAGCTGCTGCACCACGAGTCAAAATAAGAGCTGAAAAAAAGAATTTCAATAATTGAAGTAAACACAGCAGCGATGGTGCTTACTTAAAATGATATAGATTAGTTATGGCTGAATTTTTAAAACGAACACAAATTTTGAAAGGAAAAGCCTTTAAGGTGTGGTTTGTTGAGTACTGGGAAGCTGGGGCTCAGATGGTTTCAGGATGTGTCATTCAGATCCTCTACGAGGCGACACGAGACTGGACCCCAAGCTGCTGCACCACGAGGGGTGATCCTTCCCCTTCCCACATGGACACACTCCCTGACTACTCACACCAGCATGAACCTGGCTTGGGAGTAGCTTCAGTCCAGCTTACTCCTATAAATTAATCAATTTTGCAGAATAATAGCAAAAGATAATTTGCAATAGAAAAAAGTAGCTGTCATGGATTTGAGGAGAAAAATCCTGTACCTTTCCAAGCTACCACTAGAGGAGGCAACAGCCTCATTCTTACCGTTTGGAGGATAGAAAACAGCATACTCTTCCATTCCGAGTTTGCCTGTGAATTATTAAAATAATAGCAAAAGATAATTTGCAATAGAAAAAGTAGCTGTCATGGATTTGAGGAAAAAAAATCCTGTACCTTTCCAATCTGCCACTAGAGGAGGCAACAGCCTCATTCTTACCGTTTGGAGGATAGAAAACAGCATACTCTTCCATTCCGAGTTTGCCTGTGAATTATTAAAACAAATAAATCATTAAAATGGGATTAAACTACTTAAAGGGGTAAAGATCTATATTAAAAATGGGTAGGTTCTAAGTTACAAGTATAAAAATCATAACTAATTACATACTTGATCATTTGATATCGCCTAAAACAAGCAAACGACGCAATAGGACAAGTAAAGTGTCAGATATAAAAGTGAAATGCAGCGCCGATAACGGAGGATGACAAAGGGGCAAAAAAAAAAGAGGAGGAAGATTTCAGCATTGGTGTCCCAGGGAGATTTAATTGGGGTGGGTTTTTGGAGCTCTAACGGTGTTTATTGCAGAACTTGAAGCCAGGGAAGCTCAACGAGGGGATAAGGTTAAGGGGATAAGCCTGCCATGCCCTGGCAGACTCACCCAGGGACAGGAAAAGCATTAAAAAAAGATATAAGAACAGACTGAAAAATATTGAAGGATTAAGCCTGGAACAGAGAGGAAGATGGATGGGATAGCTTTGATAGAACATAAAAATATTTAAGTAATCTGTTGAATACAAAAGATTAATTAAGTCAAGATAATCACTGATAGTACAGACTGACCATGTAACTTTTTCTCTTCCCTGCACAATGCACAAATTATATTAGTTAACTGTATTTTAACAACATAACCTAATAATTCAAAATCCACTATTAAAAAATTAACAATTTATTGAGAAATATTTTTTATTCATAATCGCAACCAATTAAGAACTGTAATTATCTTAGTTTTAAAATGAGAAAATACAACTAAGAAATGTATTTACTTATATGACAATTTATAGCATATTCAGAGATCTTTTAGATCTCTGTATTTTGTTCACTCTACACAGAAGAATTTAGCACAGGGAACTTGTGTCAGGTTCAACGGAATCCGGTCTTAAGATATTTTCCTGTAACTTGAATCAACTGAATTAAATTCAAAATTACCCTGCCAAGCTCTTGCCTACTACTCCATGAAAATAAAATCCAGTATTTTCCAGTTACAGAAATTAGTTGTTCATTAAACGAAAAAGTATTTTTCACTTTTCCTTGCAATAGTTTTCTTGCTCCGCGGCCGGGACTTGTCATCTGGAAGGAGAGTATTTTTAGCATAAAGCACATCTCTCGGAAAATTAGCCAAAAATAGGACCTACAAGCCTTTCGGATTTACACCGCGCAGGTTTAGCGGAGATTTAGATTTCAGCAACTTCATTCCCTGGATTTGTCTAGGAATAAGTAGGATGTTCCCCATAGCTGGGTTTCTGGGCTGTGCCCGAAGCGAGAGCCGGGATCTCGCTGCTGTTCTGCTCTCAGGTGAGCCCTTTGCAAGTAAAGAAGACTCCCCAAGTTGGTTAAGGAGAGAGAAAAGACCTACAAAGCAATAAAGGAGGAAGAAAATAATCAGGAAACATTGTTTCTAGAGATATAAGAAGCAGCAAGAGGAAAACTGTCAGCAGAGGTCCTGTACTTGGTATGGGGATCCTGTTTGGCACGAGGGACCAAGGAAGGTAAAGTATATGGAAAAAAAAATAAATTATTGCCTTCAAGAAGGAAGACAAAATTAGGAACCTCTGGGTAAAACCAAGGCAGGTGAGGATCTAAGAAGCAAAGATACAGAGTCCAGAGGTATGGCATTAGAAGGTGGCAGAGAAGGCAAGCAGATTGATGAGATACATCCCAGAGTCCTGAAGGAACTGGCTGACGTAGTCGCCAAGCCACTTTCCATTCTATGATTCTGGAGATTGAACCAATACGTTTAAGATTGTTACGAAAAATAAGACTCACATGAGAAGTTAAGCCAAAGAACATCCCAAAGTAAGTTAACACTCTGGAAGACACCATGTTTTGGAAAGAATCAGCATAAGTCTGCTTGGTAGAGCTCTACTCTCTCCAGACCTTCGAACAAGCCCTCAATCCCTCAGCAACACGTTCTACTCCTGTCTACAAGTATCTGCAAAACCCACTTCTTTGGGAAAACAACATCCCATCACCACTCCCAGTTGCTAAATCTGTTGAAGTTGCAGAGGACAACATCGTGTATTTAAATTTCCAGCTCTGATGACAACAGATGTTGTCAAGATTTTACCATATTGTGTGCTCAATTTATTTCAGTAAAACACTGGAGAATTATACACGGAAAACTACAGTAAAAGAACAACATTGCAATCTGGCCTTCGTGTGACCAGCTTCTTAACTGTCATATAGAAATTGTGCAGATGTCAACTGGATACATGAAGTTTTTATTAATGTCTATTAGGTATAGTGTAGAATAAGCATAAAGAAATGAACATAAAGAAATGAACATAAAGAAATGAACATAAAGAAATGAACATAAAGAAATGAACATAAAACAAATTCACATACTGTATTACTGCAGCTGTCAACAAAAAACAGTGCAAATTTTTTTTAAAAAAACACCTTCTTTTACCTCGTATATAGGATTTGGGAGGGGTGGCACTGCTGTAAGCAAAGTGCTCCAATACAGATGTATCTCGGGAAAAACAGAGTAATACCTGTAGAAAAGACAGCAGATAAAAATCAGGCAACTTGCTGGATCCACAAAGCAATGTCAAACGGATTAAAGGACCTGCCTTAATTAGCACCTATTAGATGCTCTTGAAGAGAACTAATAAGGTTGAAAGCCCTTGACTGACTTCATTTATTTAAGGTTGAAAGCCCTTGACCGACTTCATTTATTTTCCTGTTCAAGCTTCCAGGCTGGCTTTGAACTCGCTGTGATTTTTCCCTTCTCATTTGTTTGCTGTCAGTAAAACATCCTCGTTCTCCAACCCTCCTCGTTGCCTCTCAGCAGGGGTTTGTCCCCTTCTGTCCCATCAGTAGGGACTGTGCATGAAACTGGCTGCTTTCACCAATGCCAGATTATTTTTCTATTCAGTTACTATGACCTGGGAAAGTCTGGGTAAGTGAATAAGCGAATTAAACATTTGCATTTTCACGTGTGGATTTCCCAGGTTTAGCGGAGATTTAGATTTCAGCAACTTCATTCCCTGGATTTGCCTAGGAATAAGTAGGATGTTCCCCATAGCTGGGTTTCTGGGCTGTGCCCGAAGCGAGAGCCGGGATCTCGCTGCTGTTCTGCTCTCAGGTGAGCCCTTTGCAAGTAAAGAAGACTCCCCAAGTTGGTTAAGGAGAGAGAAAAGACCTACAAAGCAATAAAGGAGGAAGAAAATAATCAGGAAACATTGTTTCTAGAGATATAAGAAGCAGCAAGAGGAAAACTGTCAGCAGAGGTCCTGTACTTGGTATGGGGATCCTGTTTGGCACGAGGGACCAAGGAAGGTAAAGTATATGGAAAAAAAAATAAATTATTGCCTTCAAGAAGGAAGACAAAATTAGGAACCTCTGGGTAAAACCAAGGCAGGTGAGGATCTAAGAAGCAAAGATATAGAGTCCAGAGGTATGACACTAGAAGTTGGCAGAGAAGGCAAGCAGATCGACCCAATACGTTTAAGATTGTTACGAAAAATAAGACATGAGAAGTTAAGCCAAAGAACATCCTAAAGTAAGTTAACACTCTGGAAGATAGCATGTTTTGGAAAGAATTGGTATAAGTCTGCTTGGTAGAGCTCTACTCTCTCCAGACTTTCAAACAGAGCCTTCAATCCCTCAGCAACACGTTCTACTCCTGTCTACAAGTATCTGCAAAACCCACTTCTTTGGGAAAACAACATCCCATCACCACTCCCAGTTGCTAAATCTGTTGAAGTTGCAGAGGACAACATCGTGTATTTAAATTTCCAGCTCTGATGACAACAGATGTTGTCAAGATTTTACCATATTGTGTGCTCAATTTATTTCAGTAAAACACTGGAGAATTATACACGGAAAACTACAGTAAAAGAACAACATTGCAATCTGGCCTTCGTGTGACCAGCTTCTTAACTGTCATATAGAAATTGTGCAGATGTCAACTGGATACATGAAGTTTTTATTAATGTCTATTAGGTATAGTGTAGAATAAGCATAAAGAAATGAACATAAAGAAATGAACATAAAGAAATGAACATAAAACAAATTCACATACTGTATTACTGCAGCTGTCAACAAAAAACAGTGCAAATTTTTTTTAAAAAAACACCTTCTTTTACCTCGTATATAGGATTTGGGAGGGGTGGCACTGCTGTAAGCAAAGTGCTCCAATACAGATGTATCTCGGGAAAAACAGAGTAATACCTGTAGAAAAGACAGCAGATAAAAATCAGGCAACTTGCTGGATCCACAAAGCAATGTCAAACGGATTAAAGGACCTGCCTTAATTAGCACCTATTAGATGCTCTTGAAGAGAACTAATAAGGTTGAAAGCCCTTGACTGACTTCATTTATTTTCCTGTTCAAGCTTCCAGGCTGGCTTTGGACTCGCTGTGATTTTCCCTTGGCATTTGTTTGCTGTCAGTAAAACATCCCTGTTCTCCAACCCTCCTCGTTGCCTCTGGGCAGGGGTTTGTCCCCTTCTGTCCCATCAGTAGTGACTGTGCATGAAACTGGCTGCTTTCACCAAACCAGATTATTTTTCCATTCAGTTACTATGACCCCAGAAAGTCTGAGTAAGTGAATAAGGGAATTAAACATTTGCATTTTCACGTGTGGATTTCCAGAAGACTGCTCCTTACATTCATTTTCATTCCCAGCAGCTTTACAGAATGATTCCACGATATTCCAGCCTTTCAAAAACCACAGATTATGTTGTTCACCTCCTACCCATATATTCTGAAATGTGCACTCTATTTTGTAAAATATATTTGTATTTTTTATCGTTTACATCAATGAAAAATCCACTATTCCTCGAAAAAAATCAACAGTGAAGAATCTCATCCTACGTGCAGTTGTAAAAAAATGTAATAAATATTGTTATACTTCAAATTTTTCCTGTTTTCCTGCAATGAAAGGCTGTGCTATGGAGAATGCACACACGAGGGCAGAAGTAAGACAGGTTTCCACTCCCAACTGACTTTTTTTGCATCCCCTAAATCCTTTGCTCTTGCAGG